TCCCTGGAGAAGGTAGTATGCTTGGTCACTGAGAAAGAGGAGACGGCCTGACACAGTGGCTGCGACAATGGACTCCTACATAGCAAGGAGTGTGGGGATGGCGTAGACTGGGCAGTGTTTCATTCTTTTGTACATAGGGTTGGTATGAGTCAGAACTGACTCAACAGTACCTGACTACAACAACAAATGTTACTTATTTTTGTTGCTTTGAGTTTTCCCTCTTAGCTATACTCTTGAGTTCTTCATTTTAACTAGACCTGTGGAAGCCTTCAAATGCTGGCAGAAAGAATATGCAGAGAATAATTCATAGAATAAGAAACTACAATATTCTGCCCATTTTTCCTCTTCAGAACTTGCCACTTGCCCAAATGCCTTGATTCCACCTTTTCCCTCCAGTTCCACACCCTCAGATGGTCACAGCGCAACGGAATCCTGGACAAGGTGACTGGGACTTCTGGAAAAGATTGGGCTCTCAGATTTGCCTTTTGTGTAGTGGGACTGTGATTTTTCTCTTAGCATTCACTCCAACTTAACTGCTGTCCAGTGGAAACTTTCCTCAAGTTGTTGCTTTTCTCATTTGCCTTCATCTGATTCCATCTGGGACAGTAAATTTAAGAAAACAGATTCTTCTACTCAAACCCAACAGATTATTGCTATACTCAATCAATCCTGGGCTGAGGGCCCTTCCCCCTAATCTTTAGAGTTCATTTTATTTGCTGTGAAGAACAAATGAAAAAAACAACTCATAATTTATATTGAGGCACAGAATTAGGTTCTTTATCAACAAGCAAAAGTAGAATTGTGAGACTATATGCTATGCATGAGCTCTAGTGGTGCTGTGGTTAAGGCATTGGGCTGCTAACCAAAAGGTTGGTAGTTCAAACCTATCAGCTACCCCATGGGAGAAAGATAAGGCATAAAGATTTACAGCCTTGGAAACCCTATGGGGGTTGCTATGAGTTGGAATCGACTTGATGGCAGTGGGTTTGGTTTGGTTTTGGGTTATGATATGCATATGAACTTTGATTTATTATCTTGCTTTTCACCCCCACAATGTTTCTGTTGAGACCAGTTGACACAGTAAGAGCTCAGCATGGAAAAAGCATAGATAATTCTGAAAAGCCAAGAATACCTAACTTTACACACATCTTAGAATGGACTCAGGGATATATCCTTGGAGTGAATGGAATGTTTTTCTCTCTCTCTCTTTCTAGCTGTCTTTTTCCCTGACCCTGTCTCCATCTCTTTCTCTCTCTCCTCTCCATCCTCTCCTTTCCCCAGTTCTGTAGCCATCTCCTGGTTAAGTCCAGAAGAAAACTTGGTGAAAGTGAAGGGTGCCACCCAGGAAATTATACCCAGGTTCTAGTTCCAGCTCTGCCATTTCCTAACTGAGTGGCTGTCATCTCTCTGGGTCTCAGCTTAAGTAAGGCCAGGGCATCTGGGATTAGAGGAGTTCTAAGTTTTCATCATAGTCCTAGGGTGGTGTAGATAGTTAACATGGTCAGCTGCTAACTGGTTGGAGGTTCAGGTTCACCCAGAGGTGCCTTGGAAGAAAGGCCTGGCAATCTACTTCTGAAAAATCAGCCACTGGAAGCCGCATGGAGCACAGTTCCACTCCGACACACATGGGGTCGCCATGAGTTGGAATAGACTTGATGGAAACTGTTTCTTTCTTTTTTTTCATTTCTCTGTGGATCCTACCTTTGGCAGTGTGGTGTCTGTCTGGTCTCAGCAGCTAGCCGCTCACTTGGATAATCTCCAAAGCAGGTAATTGCCTGCGAGAGGACTGAGAATCGACTGTAGCTTCACATAAATTCTATCACAGCAGAGTCCAGTGCCCGTTTTGGATTGCCCCATAAGCAAGAGAAGCACAGGCTTGCTTGTGCTTGGTTATGATTCTGTAGTGAATAATTTCACATTGTTTACCACGTCAGGGATTCTGTTTCTAGATATGGCTGGCATCTGCCTCTCTCCCAATCCTAAAGCACCTTCCTATAGAATCAAAGCCTCTTTTCAAACTTATAATCCCTGACAGGGGCAGAGGACCCAGTAAACAAGGTAGGCATAGGCCTACTCGTGCTTACATGTGAAACCGTTCATTACAGATTCGTAAGTATGCACAAGTAAGCCTGTGCTTACCTTCCTCCGGGTTAATCTGCCTCTGTTCCAGCTACTCAAATGGATGTTGGGGCCTTTGGCTGCTTCCCGGAGCCACCAGCCAACCCAGAGATGAAGCTGGCTGGAAAAGCAAATGAATGTATTGGAAAGGCCAGTGTTATCACCAAACACAGCGTCTGGGAAATGCCCATGTCCCCAGGAAGAGGTCACTGAAGCCCTTTACCTAGTGGTGCAGTGCAGTCAGGCAACCCAGGTTTCAAATCCTGACCCATCACCTATGGGAGCTGTGTGACCTTGGGCAAGCTCTCTGGCTGAGCATCATTTTCCTCCTGCACAGAATGAAGGACGCAGTTTATCCACCTTGGAGAACTGCAGAATTGCAGTAAGGATTAAAGACCTAACAGTACCCGGTCCATAGGGTACTCGGTCCATGGCACTACCCGTTGTTGTAGGTAGAGCCAATTCCTTCTCATAGTGACCCTACAGAATAGAGTAGAACTGCCCTATAGGGTTTCCAAGGCTGTAATCTTTATGGACATAGACTGTTACATCTTTCTCCCATGGAGTAGCTGGTGGGTTCAAACTGCTAACCTTTCTGTTGGCAGCAGAGCTCTTTAACCACTGTGCCACCAAGGTTCCTTAAATGGTGAAGTTGACATTATTATCTTGTGTCCTTTATTCACAGGAGTCTCTCTCTCTCTCTCTCTCTCTTTGTGTCTGTCTCTCTCTCTCTGGCTCAGGGCTCCTTCCCATGACTGGGGGAAATTGGCTCCATGCCCGAGGCCCAGTCATGCCACGGAGGTGGTCCAGAGATGCTGCGGATTGGGATGCTGATTGAATTCTCTGATTGAGAAGCCTCAGCATCCTGGCCCAGAGCAGGAGGGCTGGCGGTATTCGGCAGGATTGAGCACAGTCTGCTTGGATCCCAGATTAAGTTATTTTTCAAAACTGCCCTTTTCAAGGTCTTGTCCCTTCTCCCTACCCCTCTTCTGGCCCCTTCTCTCTGGGTCCCATCCGAACAAGGGAAAGAGAGCAGTGTGGGGTTTCCACTCCTTTCCCATACTGAAGGAAGGTGATAGGGGGCAAGGAAAAAGCTGTTTTTCTTTCAAAAGATGCGATTTTAAAAAGCCTTGGCCACTCAAGGTGGCTGTGGCCCCCTCTGGGACGCTAAAGTCTCCCGCACCAGGCTTATCCCGGCGTTCCAGACAAAACTGGACTTGCAAGTCAAACCTGCCTCTTCATCCTGTACCCGACAGTTCGCAAGGGCTTTGCTGGGAACGGAGATTAAGCGGCACTTAGTGTATTTTTCCACTTTCCTGCTTTCACCTGGTAAAAATAAAATGAAATAAAGGAGGCCCGGGGTTGAACTGTCATTATGCTTTAAGAGAGGCAGAGGCGGTCACGTGACTGCGAGTAACTGATTTAGTGCGAAGCTGTTGCAACTCCGAGTTTGCTGCAGAGCCGCCCCCTCGCGGCAAGGGCGCTGACGTCACGGAAAAGCCCGGTCTCCGGCCGCCCGGCTCGGCATAAACGCGGGGCCGCGGCGACTGCAGGCAGTGGAGCGCGGTCACGGGAGCACCATCTCCAGCGTGCTCTGGGATCGCCGCCCGGACAGACGCACGAACCCCCGGGGACCCGACTGATCCGGCCGTGCCAAGTAAGGGAGAGGTCCGGGAGGGACTCCCGCAGGGAGTTAGGGGTAGAAAGTGGGCGTTTTCAAGGTCCATACAACTTCTGTCTAAGTTGAGAAAAGAGCTTTGGAACTTGCTGTGTGCGCTCTGGTTTTCTGGCAGGGCGCAGAGTTTAAGGCGTAAAGGATACCTGTTCCTATCAGCAGGTTCCCCAGTTCCGTTCAGTGGGACGGTCACCACCTCCTACAGTGAGTGTGATCAGATGGCAGCGCTCAGTGACACTTTGTGCCTTTGTTGTTGAATGCAAGCCTGCCACCTAGGGCGCTGCTTTCACCAGCCAGTCATCCTGTTTAGTGGCTGGCGTGTTGGGGTGCGAAAGTGTGAGTGCGAGTGGGGTTGGAGTGTGTGTGTCTCACCCATGTAGCAGTTCTTGCTAATTAAAATGTGTTGCTTCTACTATATCTGAAGGGCTGAGAGAACAGACCCTAGGCCGGGGTGGGGAGTCCTTTAAAGGAGAAGTTGTAGCCAAGTTGTGGAATGTCATTTAGGGGAGTCTTTGGCCTTCCGATGTGCTTCAAGAAGGTAGAAATCTGAGTGAAATCCAAGAACTCTCAGATGGCAAAATGTGTATGAGCTGTTGAATGGAAAACAACCGATTTGCTCTGTGAACTTTCACTCAAATCACAATTAAAAGTTAAACAAAACAGAACAAAACAAAAAACCCAAAACCAAACCAAACAATTTGAAAAAAATGTAATAAAATAAAGAATTCTCAGAGTGGACATGGTGTAGTAACACTGAAACACTTTCTCTGCAAATCTGTTAGGTCTGAACGTGACAGAGTCATTTCCATGCCGGAATGAGGAGGTTTGAGGCTGGGTGGGATGCTTTAAACGGGATCTCTGTGGGCAAGAGGGCAGGGCTGAGGCATAAACCTCACAGATTCACTTTCCCCCAAATAATAGCCTTGTCAGGCAGCTGGAGAACATCAAGGCAACTTTACTAAACATGGAAGTTCCAATAAGTGTGTGTCCAGTCCAGCCTGGGGGAGTGACATCATTGCCACGTGTTTCCCACCAAGGCACAAAAGCCTGCTGGACTCCTGGTGCATTTAAGAGCCGTGTTAGACAAGAGCTGCTAACCTGGCCAGCTGGTCCCCAGCTCCTTTAACTTGTTGCTTTTCAAGCCATCACTGGAGGCTGTTAGTTCCTTCTGGCTGCTCCAAGCGGGACTCCCAAGGCTTCTCTGAGGATGGAGGAAGACCATGGGCAGTGGGCACTGTTAACGGTACTTTTGTTTCTCTTTGCAAAAATGACAGTCTAGGAAGCCTGCCTGAGGAGCTGGTTACTAATAGTGTGAAGTGTTTGTGTGTGTGAGTTCAGCTGAAAGCCTGGCTGCTTTGGGGTTTGCATTGGTATTTCTTATCTTGGGTATTTCTTATCTTAGGGATACTGAGTTCTCACCCTATCTGATAAAATGTCACGATGACCAATTATGTGTTTGAATCCCCTGAGCTCACGGTTACTAATGCTGGCATCTTGGACGCTGTGCTCTCCAGGACCCAGCAATGACTCTGAATAATGTCACCCTGCGCCGGGGCACCGTGGGCATCCAGCCGCAGCAGCAGCGCTGGAGCATCCCGGCCGACGGCCGGCACCTGATGGTCCAGAAGGAGCCCCGCCACCGCGGCCGTCACTCTGCTACCCCCGAGGACCAGTGCCGCCGGAGCTGGTCGTCCGACTCCACAGACTCAGTCATCTCCTCCGAGTCAGGGAACACCTACTACCGAGTGGTGCTCATAGGGGAGCAGGGGGTGGGCAAGTCCACTCTGGCCAACATCTTTGCAGGCGTGCATGACAGCATGGACAGCGACTGCGAGGTGCTGGGAGGTAGGTGACCTGTCCACTGCAGTGGTCCGGGCAGAGTGAGCGAGCGGATGGGTTGTTTATCTGCAGAGTTGGGAGCTGAGATAATGCATGCTTGGCACTGGCTGGGGAGCTTAGTCCCCAGCAAAATCCTGGCACAGGCCTTCAGGGCAAGAAAAGGAGAACGCTCACAGTCAAAGACCAGGATCTCTTGAGAAATCCCCTGGGCCAGATTTCTTGGATTCTAACTCTAAAGGGGCTGGGGAGCAGATTAAAGAGAGCAGAGCTGGAGGGTCAGGAGCCCACCGCTGGCTTCTGCTGGCTTTGACTTGTGCTGGTTTCTCCTTCTCCGTGCCTCCATCCTTCCCCTTGACTGACCATTTTGAAAAGTACTCTGTATGCTTTGGAGGAAGATGGACTGTGATGAAGGTAAGGTTTTCCCATGTCCTGGCTTAAGGGGCACCTTCTTCTTAAGAGTTTAAGTGAAAACACAACCTTGTTTCCATGGTGATACCTAAAACCAGATCAATTTGCGAAACTGTTAGGATGGTGTCATCAGTGTGTTTCTCACTAATATTAGAGACTTTTGAGGGTGTAAAATAGGTCAAAGTCTGTACTTGAAATAGTATATATATATTTTATATTTGAAGAAGAATACTGTAAATACTTTGCATAGATAGTCTTGCAGTTTTTTAAGAACAATCTTCCATGTATAATGCCATTTATTTATTTACTTATTTAGACCTTGCCGGTTTCCAAAACTAGAAGCTCTGGTGGCGTAGTGCCTGAGGCATTTGACTGCTAACCAGAAGGTTGGTGGTTCAAACCCACCAGCCATTCCTTGGAAGGAAGGTTGGGCAATCTACTTCCGTAGTGATACTGCCTCAGAAATCCAAGGAAGGGTTGCTATGAGTTGGGTCTGACTCGACGGCACATAACAACAATAGCAGGACGATGATGAAAACTTAGAACTCCTCTAATCCCAGGTGCCCTGGCCCTAACTCTTACTTAAGCTGAGACCCAGAGAGATGACAACCACTCAGTTAGTAAATGGCTATGAGTCGGATCTGACTCGACAGCAGTGAGTTTGGTTTGGCTTATTCACAAACTAGTTTGAGGTAGCATTATTTCATCAGTGGCTGTTATTTCTTACCAGTATGTAAAGCACAGTCCTGCCTTTGCCAATAGAATTCATATAGTGTCTTTCTACCACAGCTTCATAGTCTTAGCATACATGACCAGGGTATCTGTGTGCCCCTATTTGTAGCTGTAGAAATGAGATCCAGTGCTTGCCCAAGTCACATTGTCTGCCCATCCTTTCAGTTATGACTCACAACTGAATCAGACCCCTCAGTGGGGAGTATGCCTTAGTGATTGATGACTCAGTTCTCCACTTGATGTGTGTGAGTCCTACTCCTGACTACCAACATTTTATTCTTCTTCATTAAACATCTTATTCTTCTTGACTGTCTCCAGTGTCAGGGAGTTAACTACTTCATGAGGCAGCTCAGACAACTGGGCAGAAAGTGATGACTCATTGATGTAACATTGATTTCTCTCCTCATTTCTGGAATCTCAGGGACTCTTGCTAAACCAAGAGTCAAGGGAGCAATAGGGCCAGTATTGTGAAATTTGATCCTCTCTTTCTTTGTACAGAGGAGCTCTGGTGAGTTTGACTGCTAACCAGAAGGTTGGTGGTTCAAACTCACCAGCTACTGTGTGGAAGGAAGATGGGTCAATCTATTCCTGTAAAGATTTACCGCCTCAGAAACCCAACGGGGGTCCCTATGAGTTAGAATTAACTTGATGGCAGTGAATTTAGTTTAGTTTGTTTGTTTTCTTTGTATAGACTGAGGGATAGCTACTCCTCGAAAAAGACCTAACTTTTAGAATAACCTTTCACAATAAAGAGGCACTTTATTGGGCACATTATGTTTGCTGTTGATTTTCTTTTTCTTTTAGTGTTAACAAATTCCTCTACCCCTGTAAATAAACGGAATCTCAGAGAGGCCAAGTGCTTTGTTTAGAATCACCCAATGATAAAGTTGAGATTAGAATTTGGAAATTTAGAATCTTAGTTTTTCTCATTCTATCCTATATAGGGTACCTTCTATGTGCCAAGAACTGTGCTATATACTTTCCACATGTATTTTTGATAATACTTACAAAAATTAAACCAATTTGGTGTTGATATCCCATTTTACAGGTGAAGAAACGGAGGCTTATGAAGTCAAGTGACTCTCCCAGGGTGACAAAGCTAGTACATGGTATGACCAGGCTTTAAATCTAGTCGTGTCTGACCCCAAGTTTGTGCTCTCTCACTATACAGTGCATCCCAGGTCTATGCCGTTAGATACTGCAGTCCATTTGGTTGGGCATCAGGCACATGCCTGGCTCTGTGCTAGGCTCTGAAGTACAGTGATGGATAAGGTACAGTCTCTCTAAGCAGGGGCTAAATGTCAGGCAGTAATTCAGAACAGAGTAAATATAGTGCTTTGGGGTTTGAGGTAAGGAAGAGACCAACCAAGAAGGTTCTTTTTTTTTTTTTTTGGTGAGGTAGAAATTGAAAAAGTTAGTGGCTTTCAAAAATATTTTTGATTAGAGTGGAGTGGTATCTATCCAGAGGTAAGTATCCCCATCGGCACCAAGTGTTAAGAAGGCCAACTCATATGTAGCATTTAGAAAGATAGGCTTGTATATTTGGGGAATTTCTTAATGAGACAGAGAGAGAGAGAGAGAGAGAGGATTGCCTTTATAATTTATACCATCCCTTATCTGTAGGTGGCGGTTGGAATTACTAGTTGCCTTTGTATTTCCCAAAAGGAAGGTTTAGGTTTTCCAAGGCACACCTCACATGGTTCTTTTTGGGCATTAGCCATAAGGAAAGAAAAAAAAAAATCTACACAATATTTTTGTTATTGTTGCTATTAATAAAGATGGATGTATTACATTTATATTGCAATAATCTTATGACTCTCCGCTATGTACTTTATACTTTCCGTTCATTCACTCATTCGCTCTTAAACACTTGCTCACATCTACCATGGAACTTGGTGAAGCACTATGGGACTTACAAAGATGCATGAGGCTCCTTACCTAAAGATGCTCAAAGTATGCAAAGGAGATCAAATATATGCTAACTACCCATCAAGGTAGGGTGTGATAAGTCCCTTGAAAGAGTACAAAGGGGATACTCTGGGAATTCAGAGGAGAAAGGGTTCTGGCTGTGAACATTAGAAAAGGATTAGAAAGAGATTAGGAGATTAGGAGATGGACTCTGAGCTACACCCAAGGACAACTAGTATTTGGAAGCCCTGAGGGAGGGAAGAAGGCACAGCACACATACACTGGGAAGTATGGGAAAGAGCACTGGACTTGGAGTCTGATGATGTGAGTCTGAGCCCCAGCTCTGACATTGGCTTAACTGGGTGCCCTTGGGTAAGCCACTCAACTTCCTCATTAGTAAAATATAGAAATGCCTATTTCATAGGGTATTATGAGGACTAAAGGAAATAGATAACATATATTTAGTATATAGCAGAGTGCCTGGCACACAGTAAATGCAGAATAAACCATAGTGAGAACTGATTCTGAATCTACCATTTTCTTTCAATGTGTTGATTTTCCAAAGCAATCAGTTTCATTGCTTGTGGTCTCCATCCATCTGGTCACTCTTGGCTGGGACCCTGTGAGACGTGCAGAGGAGATAAGAGCCAGTAGAGGAGAGGATGGCATTCCTAGAACAGGTGCTTCTTTCAGGGTCTCTGGGCTATGAATGCTGAAAGCAGTTCAAGGTTTTGGGGAGAGGGATGCTGGAGGTCAGAACCGATGAGTGGCTGTGGGAGCCAATTCCAGCATAGGAGAGAACTCCTGTGTGGGCTCCACACACAGCACCTGAGCCGGTCTTGGGCTGGTGGGGGAGAGACTCCATGCACTGGGGGATCAGAAGAGCAAAGACAAGCAGAGGTGAACTAGTCCAGTGAGAATGGCTGTGGGCCACAATCACTCACCTTGGAGCTCCATACACCCCAACAGGATGATCTCTCTTGCCAAACAGGGGATATACATCCCCAACTTCCATCTAGAGCATACCAGAAGTGAGGACGGCCCTAGGCCCAGCTTACTGAAAAGCCCCAGAGGCAATAGGCCTGAAACCTTTCTCCACAAACCTTACTCAGTTGTGATCGAGTCAACTCCAACTAATAGAAAACTCACGTGTGTCAGAGTAGAACGGTGCTCCATAGGATTTTCAATGGCTGATTTTTCAAAAGTAGGTTGCCAGGCCTTTCTTCCAAGGCACCTCTGGGTGGATTTGAACCACCACCCTTTCTGTTCACAGCTGAGCACACGCAAGGAAGGTCTCCCTACAAACCTTTATCCAGAGCAAATTTCAAAGAACCCATCTAGAGTTTCTCATTATTTTATTTTCCCTTTCTGCACCTGATTAGCACTTGACAAGGCTAAAAGATGAGTGATAAAGGAAGAAAGAGGAACCTAGAACTTTTTTGGGTACACAGAGGCCCATCTCTCCTAGCTAAAAGCCTCAAATGTGAGGCATTGCTTGTTTGAAGGATCCTTGGGGCACACAGCCAGAGGTGATGCATAAACCCAGAAGCCACAAGGACATAGCGGAGTGAAGACATATTGTTTTAGGCTCCTAGGTTCCCAACACAATGATTTGTAGGTTGAGGTTAACCCCAGATAGAATGATACTATCAGGAAACTTCCAGAATGACAGAGCATTTTGACTCTATAATCCTTAGTTGTCTTTTTCTCTAGACTTGTTCTGCTGTCTCTTAAACCAAGAGGAAGTTGAATGGCCTTTTTTCCCTAGCTGTTGGATGCATGCAGTAGTTTTCTATTTGAACTGTTTGGGATTCGAGTGAGTCCCTCCTGTTCCCTTTTCCTGCTTTTGGGTTGATGAGTGGACTGAAGGTAGGGCAAGTGCTTTTTTGAGAGAGGTTTCAGAGTGTGGAAAGTGGTTTCAGAGAAGAGATTAAAGCTGTATGGTTTTTATCAGTCAAGGGTCGGGGATCAATCAGCCCCTTGATATGTGTTTCTTGGCTCTGATGATTTGCATACAGTTGCATGTTGAGGTCATGAGGCCTCACCCTCCACTAAACCAAAGAGGCATCCCACGGAGAGCTCATTCATGCTGCATATTGTGGACATAGCAGACATGCTGGGCATGACAGAGTTTCAGTCCAACCAGTGGGAAACAGTTACCATCAATTAAAAGCATGGCACTTTAGGAGGTGGAGTACCTGACAGAAAGACTGAGCCATCTGTGCTTTTAATGATAGTTAACTTTCTTCTCATTTGCTCACTTTTTTTCCTTCTGGATAGTTCCAGTTCCTAGATGAAGAAACATTAAAGCAGAAGCGTAGGTTTTCATATTCCTCACTATTTTAAAACAAGAAATGTCCTGGCTCTTCCAATATAGCACTCTTAAACTAGGATTTACCTATAGAAGGTGTGGGAGTTAAGTTTGTGTGTCAACTTGGCTGGGCTTGATTGAGTAGCCGGGCAGCTGGATGTACTATTCCCCATGATGAGACTGGTAGTCAACCCCATGGTGGAATCTACTGTGAGCAGCTAAGTAGTTGCCTTAGAGATATGGTCTTCTTCCTGTATATAAGAAGAAGTCTTGGGGAATGGTCTCTAGCTTATGGCACACTTGAACCCTGCATATAGCCATGTCATTGTTCAGCAGCCTGCTATACTTTCCTGACCTTGGGACTTTGAATGGATTTGAATTAAGGGCCTGCCATGTGGTTTGGTAACATCAGGACTGTGCCTTTTTTACTTGTCAACCTTGGGCTTGTCAGCCTCAGCAGCTAGCAGCAGTCTGAGTGAAGAAAAGCCTCTAGCTTCAGTGCGCCAGGGGCAGAAGGCAGAGCTGAAGCCCAAGGTTAAGGGGCTTTCGTCCAGCCCCTAGAGCCTGGCCCTTTGAACTCAGACTTAAAGGCTCCAACTCTAAGAGAATAAACTCCTATTTGTGAAAGCCATTCCATTTGTGGTATATTCCTGTCAGAGAGGTACTTGGTAACCAGAACAGTAGGAAATGCTAGGTCTAGGAAGAATCAACTTCTTCCATCTGAAGAAGTGATGATGATAGATAGTGTTTATGGAGTTTCTACTCTAGTGGCACAGTGCCTAAGGCATTTGACTGCTAACCAGAGGGTTGGTGGTTCAAACCTACCAGCCACTCTGTGGAAGGAAGGCTGGGCAATCTGCTTCTACAAAGGTTTACTGACTCAGAAACCCAATGGGGGTTGCTATGAGTCAGAATCTACTCAATGGTAGTGGGTTTCATTTGAGTTACTTTGTGTTTAACATATGTCAGATGGCTCTAAAGGGTGGCACTATTATTAGTACCATTTCACAGATGACAAAAGGCTCAGAGAGTTTACATGAATGGTCCAGAGCCAGACAGTTAACAAGGGATGGCACCCAGATTTGAATTCAGGTTTGCTTGTGCTCACAGCCACTATGATATATTTATCATTGATCGATTGATTCATTCATGAAATATTTATTTGGGCATCTGCAATGTACCAGGCACTGTCTTGGGTGTTGGGGAATATAGCAGTAAACAACACAGGCGCAAGCCTCTGCCTTAATGTTCTGGGGGAGGGGTGGAGGCACAGAAAATAATAAAATAAGTGAATTAAATGTATGGCATGCTACATGGTGAGAAGTGAAATGATGCAGAATAAAACAAAGAAGGGAGCAAGGAATATGGAGGAGGGAGGAGCTATTGTGGTTTTAAGTAGATAGATGGCAAAGGCCTCACCAAGAAGCAGGAAGGGGTAAGTCTTGCAGATATCTGAGGGAAGAGGTTCTGGGCAAAAGGAGCAGCAAGAAAAATGATTTAAAAAAAATCATTATACAAATCAGTTTTTAAATGTTGAAATTCAAAACAGGAAACCGCGTTGTGAAAATAGAAGGTGTGAGGATGGGCTCAGCAGTCTGGGGTTGATGGGAATCCCTCCTGCAGGAATCCTAGTACTCCCCATCTCTTCCCCAACTGCCCCCTTCACGGGTTTTTCTGGGCTGGAGCTGCTTTGTTGGCCCATTGTACTGCATTCCCTCTTCACCTACACTCACTCTGGACTCAAATGTGGGGAAGAAAGTTTCCATTACCAAGTAGAGCCGGAGGTTGTACTTCTGCTGTGCTCAGGATGGAAAAACTAGTCTGTTTGTTCCTAGAGAACTGCATTTTTCTTTTTTTCTTTTGAACTGCATTCTTTGAGGAAGAAAACTTCAGCTAGAACAAGGATAGTCTCAGGACTTTTTCTCTTCCTTGCACTTCTCCAAAGAGGAGAAATAGCTCTGAGCACACAGCTCTTGAAATTGCCAGTGACTGTCTAGTAATCACCCCACTGAACGGTGCAAGGGAGAGATGAATTTCCTTGGAAGGCTTAGGGAAACAGGGCTTCCGGTTCCCTGCACAGTTAATGTTCTCTTCTAGCATCACCCACTGAATCTGAGTCAAAAGCTCTCAACTACCTTTATCCTCATAAATGGTTTTACTATAGAAAAGGCCCAGGAATGATGAAAATGAATGCCTTCCACTCCCAGTTGTTTGTGATACAGTTAGGAGATGTAGGTGTGCTGCTTAAGAAGAGCTGGAGGCATATATGCAGAGTGCTGTAGAAGGTGATAAAAAAATAGTAATGTACCTTTTAAGTATCTGTATAACAACAACAACAACATATACCTACATAATTAATTGCATGTTAACCAAACCCACACCATTGAGTCAATTCCGACTCATAGTGATCCCCCTGTTGGATTTCTGAGGTGGTAAATCTTTATGGAAGTGGATTGCCCAGTCTTCCTTCTACAGAGTGGCTGGTGGGTTTGAACCACTAACCTTTTGGTTAGCAGTCAGATACCTTAGGCACTGTGCTACCAGAGCTCCTTTAATTGCATATTACCAAAAACAAAACCAAACTCACTGCTGTCAAGTCGATTTGACTCCTAGTGACCCCTGCTTGGGTTTCTGAGATGATATCTCTATGGAACAGATTGCCCAATCTTCCTTCTGAGGAGTGGCTAATGGGTTTGAACCACCAGCCTTCTGGTTAGCAGTCAAATGCCTTAGGCACTACACCACCAGAGCTCTCTAATTAGGTAGGTTTAATTTTACCTGTAATTTTCTACATGATCCTCTTACATAGAAATGCTGCATATTTGCCTGACTCCCACATCACTGTTCTTTCTTTTCTAGAAGATACTTATGAGCGAACCCTGATTGTTGATGGAGAAAGTGCAACAATTATACTCCTGGACATGTGGGAAAATAAGGTACGCAGAGCCTGCAGCTGTGTGTGAATACTTCAGGGCCTTCTAACAGGCTGTTTGATGGAGGGTGACCTTGCCATATAAAGAAGGTGTTCCAGATGAAGTGGGTGCATTTTCTTGATTAAAAGCATTTATTTATGAAGAATGAGACTGTTCTAAGGAACAGGTCATTCACAAATAGCTCTAAATAATAAGCCAGTTTCAGTGATTTTCCCTTGGTCCTATTAAAAAATACACAAAAGTACATTTGTTTTGGGGAAAGTGTAAACGAGCAGGGATGGTGATTTTCAACTTCATGAAGCCATCTTATGTAAAGCTGACACACTCAATCCCAGCCTTCAACATTTGCTTTTGAAACACTAAGGGCACCTGAGCACGTCTGCTCAGCTTTCTGTTCCTCTCAGACGTTCCTATTCTCACAAAAGGATTTGCAATTCATCACTTAGGACAGGCAAAAGAGATTTTTGGGAATGTCAGAAAAGGCTCAGTTTCGGTAGTTAAGATAGATAAAAGTTGGTAGTATTATTTGGTAGAGTCGTTGTGTAATTTATCATCTCAACCTGTGAGAGAAATAAGAAAGTAATATCGTTTTTTGCACTATTGCTATAACAACAACAACAAAAAAATCAACTCACTGCCATCAAGTCAGATCTGACTCATAGTGACCCCTCCTTGGGTTTCCAAGGCAGTATCACTGTGAAAGTAGATTGCCCAACCTTCCTTCCGAAGAGTGACTGGTGGGTTTGAACTGCCAGCCTTCTGGTTAGCAGTCAAATGCCTCAGGCACTGCGCCCCCAGAGCTCCTCACTGGTGCTGTATGAGCTACCAATCATTGCAGCCACCAGACATCTTGTAAGCGTGGGAAACCAATGGCATTACTAGTGGGGTTGGGGGTTGTGTACCACACTGGTGACGGTGTCAGAGGGAGTGACACCAAAATGACTTGTCTATAAAATTTTTGTGCAGTGTTTTAGCAGATATTTATTTATTTATTTATTTTTTAATAAAAATAGCCTTGTAGTTATAACAACAAAAGCATTTTTCATAAGCCCAGCTTACATGTATCAATATATCTAAAAGGCTGAAACACTATTGGTAATTTACTTCTTGAACCTTCTAATGCATTCTGGTCAAAACTGTCGTTATTAACTAATTACAATGATGGTTTGAATCACATGGTTTCATCTGCATGTGCTACAACTACACACTGTTGTTTTTGTTGTTGGTATTTTTATAGTTGCTGATTATGGGTGGTCTGGTAGGGGAGGAGATCCATGGGGGATGGTGACACCAGCCCCTGTGATGCCACTGTGGAAGAGAGATAGGTTTTGGGGAGTAGACAAGCAGTTTTTTTCCTTTTTCTTATCAGCAAGGGTACTTAAGAGTAAACATTTGTTTCTTTTCAAAAGCATGCCTCCTTAACCAGGGCAGCCTGAGCTCATGGAAGATCTTTTCATTTCTTAGGGAGAGAATGAATGGCTCCAAGACCACTGCATGCAAGTTGGGGATGCCTACTTGATTGTCTACTCCATCACAGACCGCGCGAGCTTCGAGAAGGCGTCTGAGCTGCGAATCCAGCTCCGCAGGGCCCGACAGACAGAGGACATTCCTATCATCTTGGTTGGCAATAAAAGTGACCTGGTGCGGTGCCGGGAAGTGTCTGTGTCAGGTAAGAGAAGTGTCTATCAGGTAAAAGGAACAATCTCTGGAGCACCTCTTTTTTCTTTCACATGGGTACTATTCCCTACCCCTTCATAAAACTGGAGCTAGGGACTCATTAAAATGCTTCACATATAGCTCTAAGACTCCCACCTTCTTCATAGAACATCTTTGTGCCGGAGCCTTCTCTCTTGTCCATCTAGTCCACGCCCCACCTCCAACACACACACTTCCAAGAGCTTTTCTGGAATTCTACTAGGGATGAGACCATGCACAGGGCTTTGTTGGCAGCCTCCAATTCTTCCTCCTTGTTCTCCAGGGAGATCCCAAAATTTCCTTGTCTCCAGGGAGATCCAAAAATTTCAGGGAAATAAAAGTAGGATCTTCATGTAAGAGGGATACCGAACACCGCTTTAAGGGAACTGTGAGAAAATGTTCCGTTGGGGAATATGATTTCTACTCTGCTTGCCTCTCATCCCTGTGGACCCAAGAAACAACCCATCTCACTCCCTGTACATTCCAGTTAAGACATCAGTCTGATACAGTGTCACATACACTTTTTCAGACTTAGTTTAGGGATAATTCATATTTGCTGCATGGAGACCCAAATGATTTTAGGACTCTTGAGATTTTGTTGGCCTAATACAGATTTAAAGGAGCTCTGGTGGTGTAGTGGATAAGGCATTTGGCTGCTAACCAAAAGGTTGGTGGTTCAAACCCACCAGCCACTCTATGGAATAAAGATGAGGTAGTCTGCTTCCGTAAAGATTTACAGCCTTGGAAACCCAGTGGGGTTTGAGTTGGAATCAACTCGATGGCAGTGAGTTTGATTTGGTTTGGTTTTAATACAGAGTTAGTCCCTGGTATAATTATAAAAAATAAGGCATAGGGCCTAAGGCATTTGACTGCTAACCAGAAGGCTGGTGGTTCAAACCCACCAGCCACTCCTTGGAAGGAAGGTTGGGCAATCTACTTCTGTAGTGATACTGCCTCGGAAACCCAAAGAGGGGTCTCTATGAGTCGAATCTGACTCCATGGCAGTGAGTTTTTTTTTTTAAATATATATCTGGTAAGAAAAAACCTGATAAAGACCTAAACATACACAACTAGTTTGGGAATATCTTAACTATTAGGAAATGACTGTCTACAGTAATCTTTTTTCCAAACAAAAATGTAGACACATGGTCTTTGAATATGATGAAATACTTGAAATTGACACTGTTCTAGAAAAGCTTGTATTGTTTGCTAACTATATTATGCATTTGTAAAATCCTCAAAATCAAAAGAAAAAATATCTCATCACAGTTTTAAGAGATGAAGGCCATGGTAGTAGAATTCTTATTTTCAGTTCAGGAGCTGAGTCAGGGTGAAGTTAAGAATGTGGCCTTGAGAATTAAGCAGGCCTGGATACAGATCTGCCACTTACAGGCTATATGAACTTTGTCAAGTTTTTAAATGAGCCCCCTCCATTTCTTCATCTATTTAGAAGGGATTATATGTATTTTTCAAGCTTGTGGTGGGTGTTAAGAAAAAGTTTAGAAAGCACTTAACCCAGTTCTTAGCACAAAGTAAGTCTCCAATAGGTTAAGGTTGTGGTTTTTGCTGTTACAGTTAATATCACTGCATTTGAATATTGTATGCAACTGGACCTTCCCACCATGAATTTACGGTGGACCAGATCTAAAGCTGCTCTGTCCTGTTTCTCAGTGAGAGTCTGTGCTTCTGCTTCTGCCCTGGGAGGACAGTGGCCTCCTGTCTCCATTGCAAATATGACAGAACGATATTAAATCAGGAATCATCCGGTTTGGCTGCATTCTGCAGATCATTCTCTGCGGCCCCTCTGACTTCCTTCTTCCCTTATTTCCTTTCCAGAAGGAAGAGCATGTGCTGTGGTGTTTGACTGCAAGTTCATTGAGACCTCTGCGGCTGTCCAACACAACGTGAAGGAGCTGTTTGAGGGCATCGTGCGGCAGGTCCGCCTTCGGCGGGACAGCAAGGAGAAGAATGAGCGGAGGCTGGCCTACCAGAAAAGGAGGGAGAGCATCCCCAGGAAAGCCAGACGCTTCTGGGGCAAGATTGTGGCCAAAAACAACAAGAATATGGCCTTCAAGCTCAAGTCCAAGTCCTGCCATGACCTCTCTGTGCTCTAGGTGCCCAGAGTCACGTCCCCTTGATGTCGTCCTTGGCGGACTTCACTGAAGGCCATTGGGACCGCTATTCAATCTATATTAGATTGTATACTTAAGTATTGTTAGATGTAGCTTCCCCCATTGTAGTTGGGAATTAACATGTTAGCCTCATGGACAGCATAATGCATGGGAGATGACAGATCTTTGTAAAGAGTATTTATTCACAGGAAAAGCCTTGTCCTTGCTACCTGAACACCCAAGACTCATTAGAGGACCTGTTTGGTGTTCACATATGTTTCCTCTCGCCTGTGGATAGTAGAGAATTGAAGCCTACCAAAGAATGCCTAGAACAAGAACTTTCTAGTAATAAAATTTTGCCCAGTGTTCTGATATGTGAATTTGAGACCATGGGTCATAAACAAATATAAGAAATCTGTCAAGGGTTTATTCAAAGGAGGGAGAATTTTCTGTACCTTGTATTCTCCATGGAGCTAGAACCGTAGAACTGGGCTCATCAGGATTATGACTGTTACCGCTCCACAAAGCTGTGAAAAGAAATGATGGACCTTGCTGGAAACTAAAGCTCAGCAAACAGTTTTGTTCAAAGCCCACAGTTGGGAATCCAGAGATTTGTAGCATTGAGAACTGTTATATGTACAACTCATGGGTTCAACAATTATATCTTATGTGTCTTTCCTTTTTTTATTTAGGGGAAAATTGTTTCAATCAAATTCAATGTAGTGAAACCACCTGTTATGTTTCTTTATTTTTGAAATCATGGAGTCATCAAAAAATATTTTAAAAATATCAATTATTAATAACCTGAAGTGCAAAATGCCAAATTTAAAATATAGCCAGTGGTCTGAATTTTTATATAACACATAACAGAAATACTTCTGTCCTTTGGATTGTCCCTTGTATGCCACAGCTCTGCTCTATCATTATTTTGCAAACTATTTACCATTTTAATATCTGATAAAGTATATTTATGAACATATTTCTTAACAGGAAAAATGTCCATTTTATTACCATTTTCTATATTTTTCAGAATATACAAGTTTTTACCTATATGTCTTATAATAAAAGAAATAAAATCTTTGGAAAAAAAGGCATTCTTAAATGTTTTTCTGCCTCAAACAAGATAATTATGATAATTTTAATGTGGCCTTTAAAGCAAGCATACTCTAAAGGCACAACTATTATTTTAGTTCTTTTTCATTATCTGTTTTAAAGCATATCCCCAATATCTTATCCTTTACCATGATTTACCATAATGCTAAATTATTTTTAGCCGATACAGTTGGGAATTATTTGGGGTCATCTAAAAACTAAGTTAGGGTAATGGCCAGATTGATCTTTTACTTGGTCTGGCAAATTCCTGACTGAACAGATGGGCCTAGCTTTGCTCTCTGAAGGCTCGTGTGGTCTTTAGCTTGACTAAAGCATTAGAGGACGTTATAAAGGATTAGAAAAAAAATGGAAGTGAGTGATTTTCAATCTGAGAGCTAGCCACACAGGGCTTTAACCAAATCCTATCTCTGATTGCATACTGTTTGACTTTAATTGCATGGCATTAACCCTGTTGCTAGAGTGGAACTTTCTGGTGTTCCCCTTTCACATCTCTGGCCCCTGCACACACCATTTTTCACTCTCACCTCCCTATCTTTCTGAGTTTGTAATCAGACACATACTAATGATGACAACCAAACCAAAAAAAAAAAAACAAAAAACAAACTCACTGCCTCCGAGTCGGATCCAACTCATAGCGACCCCTCCTTGGGTTTCTGAGATGGTATCTCTATGGAAGTAGGTTGTCCAAGGAGTGGCTGGTGGGTTT